GATCCTTCAAGGTTTGAACACGTTGAAAAAGAAGAAAGGAAGAGGAAAATGAAATGTGGTAACTGTGGAGAATTAGGTCATGATAAATCAAAGTGTGCTGTTAAATACTCAAGTGATGAAGATGATGGATATTCAGAAGAAGAAGAAGATGGTGATGATGTTTCAAATGATTCAGATGATGTTAAAAAATCAATAATTTTAATAAACTCAGAAGATTTAACTGATATAGATCAAACAAATCTTAATGATGTTTCAGATGAAGATTCAGATGATGTAGATGATTCAAAAAGTTCAGCTAGTTCAAAATTTTCAAATGATTTACGTGTTTTTAAATCAAATGATTTAAAATCAGAACAAGAAGAAGCAGAAATGATGAAAGCTTTAACTTATAATGAAGAAATTATTAAAGCTGATTATGATAATGATCAAGAATTTTATCATTTAAATCATTATCAAGATCCTCACAAGATTGAAGAGTATCATAATCAATTATTAGAACTTGTTAGACCTTATGTTACTTCTATTTATGATCCTCCTGGGGATGGACATTGTGGATTTCACGCTATAGCTCATGCTCTTGGTCAACACGAAAAAGGTGCTCAGAAATCTATTAGACAAAAGATGGTTGAAGATCTAGACATACATCATAAAGAATATCTTAAGTTTTATTGGCAGAAGAGTGGTTCTACGAAAGCTAAAAAGTCACTGACCAAGGCTCAAATTCAAGAAAAACAAGAACTGGCAACTGAAAGATACATTCAAGACATATCAGAAAAAATTGAAACTTATACAGATGAACCTGTCAGCAAATATAACTGGTTTGAATCAACCACTATGGGTCCAATTGCAGCAAATGCTTTTTCAAGGCCTGTTGTGATCATGAGTACCACTCATCATCACTGTATGACTTTCTTTCCATTTTCTTCCAAAAAGAATTCAACTAATAAACCTATAGCTCTTGGATTTGTCGCAAATGGTCATTGGGTTTCTATTTCTTTTTCTTCTGATTCTCCTTCACCTTTTCCAAACCCTTCTCTATGGAAAGATCAGCATAAAATTTGGCTTTCAATGGCTGGAAGAAATGCTGCTGGGTGGACAAATGACAGTTTCCTCAAACAATGTTTTGCTTTATGGGAAAGAAAGATGGAGGAAATAGAGAAATTGAAGGAATCAAAAGAAGGAGTTACCACCAGAAGTTCAGGAAGTCATTTACAAACCTTCTATTTCTGAATTATAATAATCTGATCCCCTTCATGTTGAGATGAGAAGATTGTCTTAAACTTCAAATACAATAAAACAACTGCGTTTTTGGTCTTTTCCGTCCTCCGGTTCTCTCATTTCGAGTCCGAAATGCGTTGTCCGTCCTCCGGTGCACTCATTTCGAGGCCAAACTGCGTTTTGGACATCAAACTGGGGCTTCATTACCCTGCTGAGGGGTTATGAAGCTGGATTTGTAGCGCCTACATTTGCACGACTGGATGTAGGCGCTGATTTGGGCTAAAAAAACTATGTAGGCGCTTTGAAATTATGCCTACATGGTTCCTGGGGCATGTAGGCGTAATTTCAAAGCGCCTACTTAGCAGGTGCTCATTTGCCAGCGCCTACATACAGAGGAGGGAATGTAGGCGTTAAAAAAAAGCGCCTACATCCTTTTTTTGGGGATGTAGGCGCTTTTTTTGAGCGCCTACATTGTTTTTTCCATGTAGGCGCTTAAAAAAAGCGCCTACATAGCCCAAATGAAATGTAGGCGCTTTTTTCGTACGCCTACATTCTAAAAATAGAATGTAGGCGTACACAAATGACGCCTACATTCTATTTTCAGAATGTAGGCGTACACAAATGACGCCTACATTGGTTTTTCAGCCTGTAGGCGTCATTTAAAAAAGAAAAAAGCACCTACAGGCTGTATGTAGGCGCTTTTTGGCGGAAAACATCCATGTAGGCGTATTTTGGACAGCGCCTACATGGATTTCATGTGGGCGGCAAATAGCAACGGCCTTTTTTAATTTCCCCTTCCTTGAACAAAAATCTGACTGTGCTTTATGTTTGATATTGTCAGTGAATTGAGTACAGATGGCTTCATGGCCTACAATCATCGGACAAACTCAAAAGTTCTAGTCATGACCTCAGTGCTATGCCATCTAGGTGACTCTCCAATGCACACCGAGGTCAGCAATACAATGAACCCCACAGTGTCACTCACTCCATGTCGGATTTGTCATCTGAAAGTCAATAGCGTGTTGGAAAAAAGATCAAAACAATATATTAACAATTTTATTGGAGTTGATGAAAATGGAAACAAAGTAAGAATCTTAATTTGTAGACGTTGAGAAGAGATATTTGGAAGATATAACTTGATCACTCCATCTTTTTCAGATGTCTCTACCTCCGCGAATCTGGTCAGAAACCAAACGTCTTACCAAATAGCTCTGGGAATTGGCGCAACTCCCAGGAACAATTGGGTCATTTGACACTCGATCGGCCGAAGTAGGTGTGAAAGACACTCTCAGCACGCCATTTGTCAAGAAGGTCCAAGATTTCCATCGAAATCTGTTACTTTCAAAAGACGATGTTGCCCAGCTGTGCCGTGAGATCAATGATCAGTTTGGACAACGCCTTTACAATCCTTTTCTGCGGTTAAAAGGTGAGTGAAGGCAATCATCTTTGATTTTCTACTCAACTTCACTTTTTTAAAAATGGCACTGACTTTGTTGTGTTGGTATGGAGCAGGTTTTGACGGCCATCAAGACACTCCTGTCGAAGTTCTTCATGTTATGCTATTGGGAATAGCAAAATATCTCCTCAGACACCAAATGCAAAGCTCGTCGGCAATTGAAAAAGAAGGAATATGGGGTCGGTGGAGATCATTCAAGATGACAGGCTTGAAGATTCCAGCGATTCAACCTAAAACAATGATCAATCACTTTCTCAGCTTAACTGGAAAGGATTTTCGTACGGTTCTTCAATCAGCACCATTCATTTTCTTTGAATGTGCCATACCGGATCAGGAACGGGCCGCTTGGAAGGCTCTGTCTTACCTTTCTCCTTACCTATTTCAGACCGAAATCACTGACATGGACCAGTACATAATTCAAGTTAGCCTTCACGTGCAAAGATTCCTTCGAGCAATTGTACGACTTTCAGCCCAATGGTTCAATAAACCAAAATTTCATATGCTCACCCACCTCTGCAACGCAATTGAAAGATTTGGACCGGCATGTCTCTTTGCCACCGAAAGCTTTGAAAGTTACAATGGCAACACGCGAAACTCTTCGATTCATTCAAATCACTTGAGCCCCGGTAAAGATATTGCAAATTCGATGAATAACCACCGGCTTATAAGATCTATTTCAGCTTCTTTGCTCAACTATGATGCCAAGCAGAAGACATACATACAAGCAAGCTCAAATGTATCCGATATATTCAAAAACAATCGCTTGTTCCAGAAGGCATTGGGCTACAATTCCCAATGGAATAAACCAGGCGAGGCACAGAGAGGAAGTGAGTCAAATTGGTTTATCATTTCTCAAAACCCTCTGACATTTTTTGTTTCTATGTTAGAAATCTGTAATACACAGCCACCCAGACCCGAAAGCCACATTCCAAAATCAATTAGGGACGCTTACACTTCCAAGTCGTGGAAGTCATGAGAAAGTTTCACTTTCCAAGATGAACAAACTGTGAAGGATGGCAACTTTTTATTGGTATGTTGTACTGTACTGAACTTCGTATCATCAATTACTGATTGATTGTTATTTTTTCCAGGTAACTCTTCGCACCGAAAAATTCATAGGCAGGATCAGGAAAGTGTGGGGTTTGAGTGGTTCAGGTCCTCAACAGTGCAGATTTGAATTATCCAAGTGTAAATTAGCCGACGCGAGTGTGTTCTATGGCATGCGCAAAATCGAATCAACCACTCAGTGTGTGTGGGTCAGCCCTGCAGTGAGTACACCTTTTTCCATCGCATTAGGCAGCGTGGTTTTTTTACTGACATTGTTTTCTCAAAGGACATTGAGGGTGTCCTTAACATCCAACAAAACTGCCACAAAAGTGGATGTACAGTCGAAAAAACCCATCAAGTATTGATTGAGAGACGTATCTCAAACAGCCGAGAACCTATGGTGGTTCATAAAGACACAAGGTTCTTTGTACTCAACTCTGCTTTATTTTATTTGGCAGAGTTGCATCGTGAATGGGCTCATCTTACTTTCCTGCCAGTCCGTCCGGCTGATTGGAAACTAGCAGTTGCGGAAGGAATTCAGCACTGGGAAGCGTCTTTGAAAGAAAAACAAGCCAAGAAGGATAAACAGTCTCAGAACCTTAAGGAGATTCTTGGCACAACAAGAAGAAAGCCCATCAAGCAAAAAGAGAAAAGGCAAAGGCCGTGCAGCAGATCAAACTCTTTCAACACAAGATTGATTGCTGGATGAGGGGTCATCGGACTCTGAAACATAAATCAATGTATCAACAAATAATAGTAATTTATTATTCATCCACACGTTTCTTTCTCCAATGATCAATTCTCTGTTTAAATTTCATTTCTGCCCTCTGTAAAACATTGTACATTTAAATTTGAATGCATACTTTGATGTTTAAGTTAGAGATTATATACAAGATGATTGAGAGGTTAAAATTACTCAATCGGAGATGCGGAGCTTCCCATTCCTAAATGAAGCTTTGCATTTCGCGAAATGCGGAGCTTTCCAATACTTACAAATGAAGCTTCGCATTTCGCAAAATGCGAAGCTTTCCAATACTTACAAATGAAGCTTTGCATCAACTTCCTTTGCCTTTGCTGCTGTGAATCATTCTGAGTATCGACTCTCAAGACCAAGAAATCTGAGTTCAAAGTTGATAACCTGTCACAGGCCTCAGACAACTTGTCACAAAACTTTCACAGGTCCGATTGAAGACTGAAACATTTATCACTTGGAACTCCACATCTCAACCGTCTTCTTCACTCTTCATCGATCTTCCAACCCTTTACGCCCAACCCAACAATGTCACAACAAGCACGGTATCAGCCTTATTCAAGGCCTTCAACTCAATCACAAATCTCGATCAAAGGTGCAGCTGCCCAGCGACGCAGTTTACACGAACGTTCTGCCCCAGCTCCAAAATCAAAAACTCCTGCTCTTCCAGCTCAAGCTTCAAAGTCAAAATCAAAAACTCCTGCTCTTCCAGCTCAAGCTTCAAAGTCGAAAGCAAACCTTCCGGCTCTTCCAGCTCAAGCTTCGAAGTCAAAAGCATACCTTCCGGCTCTTCCAACTCCAAAACCAAAATCCACCAAATCAATTCTTCCGACTCGCATAGATAGTTCTTTACCTTCCAGCGAGACTGAACTATTCAGACAAGATGACTTGACTCTGTTCAATCACTCTGACCACAATTTTGGTACGTTTCACATTATCTGATTGCTTCATTTTCTTCTTTTTTGTTTCATATACTCAGCCAGTTGTTTCAACAATGACCTATCAAAGAAGAACAAGGTAATAAAAACAGTGGTGGAATTGTTGAAGGTGAGTCATTCCATCCGTCTTATGTTACCTTCACCATCCTGATCCTAATTTTTGAAAATAGACGAAGGTAATAACGGTGGCGGGGATTCTGAAAGTGAACCAGGAGGCCAGACAGCCGCGGACCTCGCTATCCAAGCCATTCGGACCCATGCCAACGAAATCACTGCCGAGAGCCAAGCGACACACATGAATCGCGCCAAAGTGGGTACTTACAATCGAGTTGCCACCCGTGTTGGCCTTGACACAGAGCACCGTTTCATTGGTCGCACACTCTGCAATGTCAGTGTCATCTCTATAATTATCCTTTTCATCACTCTCTTCCATTATCAATCTGACTATCAATTTCTGCTGTAGGTTGGATCTACTGAGGAGCAGTTCATGACCATGATGGCAAACGTTCTGGTTGAACGTCAAGAGAACGAAGTGTCCCGTTTGGAGATGAGGAGTCAATTGTCAGAAATCCAATCAGAGCTCGCCAAAATTTCATCTGGGGCTATTGGTTGGAAAGAAAGCAAAGAGCTCAAAGTAAGTAGTTTCAATATTCAACTCTGCATCGTGAAAATCATCACGTAATTCTCCCTTGTTCCTGTGTTCAGAAATGTTTGCGCGTCTGGGCCACAAAGTGCATTCTCAAAGGCGATATTCAGGCGTACACAGCAACCAACAACAAAACAGGCACCAAAGAGCTCCTCCCTCACTCTCTGTACGCAAGAGTCATGGTGAGTCTTGTAATCTTTTATCATGAGATTAAAATATGAACAATGATGCAATGGTTTATTCAGACCGAGATAATGTAAACTCGCACCGCGTGGAAGAAAAAGATGTTGCCACCTCGCTATGGAAAGGATCCGAACCCAGCAGCGTCGAGTCTTTTCCACCAGGTCATCAAGACAGTGTTGAAGGAGGTCTGAAAAGACCATACAGGCACGGTAATATATTTTATATTAATATACTTTGTCTTTCATCTTTCAATGGGCTGACTATTGTCTTTTAACGGGCTGAACACTTCAATCAAAATTGCAGCTCCTGACCAATGTTCGGCTTCCGGATTGATCTGTTGTTACAGGTGATGGCACTGTACCGAGCATCTATGAGATTATGGTTAAGGTGAGTCTCCTTTGAACTCACTCTTTTGCTTTTTTCATTCTAACCAAGTTTGAATTAGCTCTACCAAAAAGAGCATGGTTATGTTGGAGGCAGTGTAATCTCTCCAAAAAAGATCATGTCCGACATTGGGCATCTTCAAGTTGGTCGCCATGCATGGATAGTATGTAGTTTCCTTTGTTCATCTCGTTGTACAATCAATCTCACTGACTGGCTGCATTCAATGACATCCAGAGGATACAATTCATACATTGGGGCTTAAACCGTCCGACATACAAGACCAAGACTTTGTGGAACGTGGTGGACCAGACTCTGGAGCACTTGCGCAGTGAATCCTCAAGGTATCGTTATGCGTAGGCTCGTTTCTCTTTGTTTCCATATTCCTTGCATTAATCGCAACTGACTTAATCTTGTAATCAGATTCTATGTGCTGGTCTTACAAACTGACCTATTTATGAACGGAAAGAGGACATTCGAAGAATTGAAAGCAATGACCAAGTTTACATTACCTACAGAGCAAGAGATTCAAGATACTATAGCAGGCCTCGATGATTCCTTTGGAGACGAGGCAGCAGGACCTGATGAAGAACTATACGAGGCAGAGGAATTAGGAGCAGAGGTGGTGAATGGACAAGATGAGGAAGAAGATGAGGAAGAAGAGGTAGAAGATGAGGAAGAAGATGAGGAAGAAGAGGTAGATGAGGAAGAAGAGGTAGATGATGAAGAAGATGAAGAAGATGAAGAAGAGGTAGAAGAAGAAGAAGATGAAGAGTAAGTACTGAGGTGATTGATGTAGATGGTTTTCTTTGTCTTATCTTATAGACTACTTTCTTGATCATTTTTTTGATCAATTGTGAGTTTGTAAGTCCTGCCTTGAAGGCTCAAGTTGATATTTTTGTCTATATCATTGTATTGGTTTTGTTATTTTATATATACATTTTTATGTATTTGTTTTGTTATTGTTTATTTTGTATTTTGATAATAAAAGTGCTAAGCGCTTATTAGGATGTGTTCATTGAATTGTGCCACTGTTGATGTGAACCTAGAACAGAGTTTCAAAAAACGCTGTCTGCTATGCGGCACATTATGTGCCACTAAAGAGAGGGACCTCACTGGGTTTTCACCGGTTTATGGTGAAGTTCCCACTGGTGTAAATAGCGCAGTGTTAACTCCGGTTGTACGACCCCGAGATTTTCACGAATCATGCCTGCAAATGTTTGCGGTTTTTTCACTGCGCAGTGTCACCAGGGAAAACCCCGTTTGGGGGGGTTCGTGGTGTAGAAGTCGTCATATGTTAGTCAAGACTTCTTCTTTCAAATGTTTCTTTAAAAAATTTCCTTTTATCGTTTCACCAGCCAAGAAGACAGGGGATACTCTTTCTCTTCCTTGGACCGACTCAGTTGCACTTGAAGAACCAGTATTACCGTATCATATGGTAACACGATCAAAATTATCTAAACCTATTTCATCAATTGATATTGTACCTTCTCCTTCTTCCTCGTCAAATAAATCACCAGTAGAACCTTCAAGTCCAGTTGATCTTGTTCCTATTCAACAATCTCCTCCAAATAGTCCTATAGATCAAACCCCAGATCCTCCTCGCGATCTTCCTGTGAAACATGTTCCACAACCAATTTTACCAAGACGTAGTTCACGTGTTTCCAAGGCTCCTGATTGTTTCAAGCCATCAGCTTTTGTACTTGATACTTCTTCTCCAGAACCAGAGTCTTATGGAAAAGCTGTCAACAGTGAAGAAGCACTTCAATGGGAAACGGCTTCTAAGACTGAAATTAGTACTCTGCAGAAGTTAGGTACTTGGAAGCTGGTACCAAGACCTTTAAATAGCAAAGTTCTACAATCTATGTGGGTTTTCAAACGAAAACTTTTACCTAATGGCCAAATCAATAAATACAAAGGCAGATTGGTAGTGTTAGGTAGTGGACAAATCCCAGGAGTTGATTTTAATGATGTGTTTTCGCCTGCCTCTAGACAAGAATCAAACAGAGTCGCTTTAACTGTAGCAGGTGTTAAAGGATGGAAAGTTAAAGGTTTTGATATTACAGCAGCATTTTTACATGGAAATTGTTTGGAAAAGGATGTGTTTATGGAACAACCTGAAGGTTTCAAAGACGAAGATTTTCCCAATCATGTTTGTCACCCTATTCTTCCTTTATATGGCTTACATCAATCGGCAAGAAATTGGAATTGCAAGTTTACAGCATCATTAATTGAGATGGGTTTAAAACAATTGTCTCACGATCCAACTTTATTCTTTAAACTTGTCAATAATACCCTTGTAGGACTAATCACCATTCATATTGATGACATATTGGTCACTGGTGATGATCAATTTCTGTCTTCAATTTCTTCATCTCTTCATTCAAAATTTCCTATATCTGCTGAGACCAACTTAGAACATCATCTATCAATTTCTATCAAAAGATCTAAGGATCTTCGTTATTTCACTCTTCAACAAACTGCCTACGTTGAAAAGATTACTCAGCAATTTTTTACAACCGGGCCAACTCACGTTCCTACACCTTATGTACCAAATTTCGGATCTTTGATTCCAGCCATCAACAATTCTACATCAAACTCAAGATACGGATCCATCATTGGTGCTTTGTTATGGCTAGCTCAATGTACTCGTCCCGGCATTTCCTTCGCTGTAAATCGTCTGTCTCAGTTTTTGAAGAACAATGAGGATCATTGGAATGCTGCTTTAAGGGTTTTAGCTTATTCTTATCATACTCGGTATTTAGGATTGACGTTAGGTGGTTATGATAATGTTTTGCAAGGCTTCACGGATTCAGACTGGGCAGAAAATTTATATGATTGCTCTTCAACTTCTGGTTATCTTTTTAGGCTAGGAAACGGACTCATTTCATGGAAATCAAGAAAACAAAAGACCACCGCTTTGTCTAGTACAGAAGCAGAGTATATGGCCCTTAGTGATGCAGGGAGAGAGGCCATGTGGCTGAGACAGTTACTTCAAGAAATACGGTTCATTGACAACTCACCAACAGTCATACATTATGACAACACCGGTTCGGCGGCTTTAGCAAACAATCCTATCCATCATTCTCGAAGCAAACATGTAGATCTTTGTTACCATTTCATTCGTCAACTTATTAAAGATAAAAATGTGGTTCTAAAACAAGTTAATACATCCTTTCAACTAGCTGATTTTTTAACTAAAGCCCTTTCCAAGCCCACTTTCATAAATTTACGTGATCAATTAAGAGTTAAGGATGTATCTAAGGGAGCTTCATCTTAGACTTTTTCAGCATGGGGGGGGTGTTGGATTAATCTCGTGCCTCAAAAGTCTTAATTCACCTTTAATGTATTCTTCATAACAATGTTTTGTTTTTCATTTTTCTTTCACAAAATCCACTATGTTACATCATACGTCTCAATGCGGAATAATATGTCATTAAGTATATGATGTCACTAATTTGTAAATTTCTCTTTTCATATTTTCTTTATAACCTGATCCCAAAGCCTCAGTTGGATGATTTCTCTTTTTCCTCATCTGACTGTGTCTTTTCAACAAAATCTTATTATAAGATTTTTCGTGTTAGATTTCTCTTTATCCTATACTAAGATTTTTGCTTTGTTGTTTGGATCCAGTCCAACAGATAATGATAAGGCTAAGCCTAAGCCAAAGGGGCGGCAAAATAAATAGCTGAACATGTTGTGCTGATACACGTCTTGATAATTTCTAAATCTTGTACTTGTGCATAAAAAGACTTGCGTATTTTTATTGATATTTTTTTTACGAAAGGATGCCTATGATTGCAAAGGTAAGCCCGGGAGCCGTCAAGTTCATTTTTCCATCTTGTTGTTGTTTGTGTGTTGAGACTGTATGTATGGTGGCCCAAAGAAATACAAATTGGCCAATTAAGTGGTGGAATTCCTTGTGCCAGACGGGTTAACGTGAGAATACATGAACAAGGACATCTGAGGGACTTGAGAATTTTTTTTCCTAAGTCTTGAGTTGTTTGCACTCGTCAAGTGAGGTGCAAAATTGCACCTGAGGGGTAGCCATTTGAAATTTTGCACTCTTCACATTTACACTCCATATTGAGTGTAAATGCAAAGAGTGCCAAAGTGGAGATTTGCCTATCAAAATATAATTTTGCACTCGTTTTTTTTGCCCTCAATCTTGTATGTAAAAGTTGGGGGGCAAAATTGTAAGTTTCCCCCGATTTTATACAATTTTACACTCCATATTTTACACATGTTTTTTTACACTTCAAAAAATTGGCCGGATGGAGTGTAAAATTGCATTTCACCCCCCTACAGATGCATTTTTACACACAACCCAATTTACACTCAATATTGAGTGCAAATTGTTGAGTGTAAAAATCTCTTAACCCATTAATAAACTGTTCTTGAAATCAAAAAGTGTCATGGGGGGGCGAGAACAGCATATTTGCATGTCCTTCATTGACTTTGGAGGCATTTTGTGTCCCAAAGACACTCTGACAACACGGAAAAGTGTGTGTTGCATACATCACAAACATGAACTTGGTAAAATCTGAGACCATTTTCAACCCAAAAATGATCAAAACCAATTGAAGATCATGCAAATACACTGATTGGGCTCGCCCACACTGACACTTATGGATTTAGCGTTGAGTTTACTAATGAACTTTTTTGAAATTTCCACATCTTCACGTCCATTTGACCACTCAAAGTTTGAAAACCTCGATTTTGACTCCCACTCCAGTGTAAAAGTTAACTAAACACTGCGAAGATAATGAAAAAGACTTGTTTAGGCCCCCCCAGTGACACTTTTAGATTTCGAGGGGACTTTACTAACCCAATTTCGTAATAAAGTGACACCTTTGCCTTCATTTCTCGATCTAATTTCAAAATTAGTCATTTTGAATCCTCCTATCTACCAAACAAAAAAACTTTGCCTCAGTATATCAGTAAGTGTGAAGGCCTTCTATGTAGTCAGAAGGCCTTTGGCAAACATTCAGGAAGTAAAAAAATCATCATGTATGATTTTTTTAGGCAAAGGTTTGTTTTACCAAACATAGTCCAAGATAGGATTTAGCAAAGAAAAGAATAACATAAATTATATTTCATGTGATAAATATAAGAAAACATTCATACAAAAACAATCATAGAAGTAAACGTTTAACAACATATGTAATTACAAAAAATCATTGAACAACACTCATCCATCATCTTCATTCCGGCCTTCAACATTCATCAAATTTTGGATCATACCTTCATCGATAATATCTTTCCAATCTTCTTCATTGATATCAGACAGCGCGTATTCCTCTTCCATGGCTGGTGGGAGATCATCAACACCCAATTGGTCGAGTCTTTCAAGCAAGTTTTTTTCCATGATCTGAGGCATGAGATGCTGATAGTTGCCCAATATCCTTGAGGCAAAACCATTTACCTCCAGCTGGTTCATCTTGAAAATTTGCGCCTTCCATTTCACCATCAGATCCTCATTGCCTATAACCTGATGTGCCGTCTTCATGAGGACCTCCATAACTTTCCAATCCCATCTGACTTGCAACGTGATAATCCTGATCAACTCAGTGTGAAGCATACCTCAGACAATAACCACCTTGGCACATAAGGAACACCTGGAAAGAATATCGTGTTGGAGAAAAGGTTCAATAACTTCCATGACGTCGACATCATGACCATTGAGTGACTCAAGCATGGTCCAAAGTTGTTGATGTAGCGTTGTCGCCCAACGCATGGCTCTTTGAACTTCCCAACCCACCCTGCGAAGTTCTTCATGTCCTTGCCGCACTCGAGCTAAAGCGCGCATGCCCATCTGAGTATTGTGATCGACTGCCGACGGTTTGTTTGAATGTGTGAAAACACCATCATTCCAAAAGGGATCATTGGGCTCAAGTTCTAATCATAAAACTAAAGGCACAACCATGTTTCTCGGCTAAACTGGATTAAACCCCTAAGCCTTAAAAATTAAGCTTAACTATATGTATACATACTCCAATCTCCTCAGCCTCCTCCACACCACTTCTGACCCTCTTCAAACACCTTTGATCCCAATATCAGCTTGCCACCTTCAACTTCTGCCTCACCAGCTTTTGGTTCCTGAATATGTCTCCTGTCTCCTCTTTCATTGCCACATGATTTCATCAATAAGACAACAAATTTGGTGATTTACAATATCAAGGTATGCGTACAAGTCCATCTTTGATCAAAAGCACACAAGTCTTCTTTTCACAGGATAGATGTTGATGATGCTTCAGATTTATTGTAGAAAGGACTCAGGCCAAAGGTATGTGATCTTTCATCTCAGTTGCTTGTGGATCAAACAAACCGTACAAGTTCTTTGAAGTCCACTACGAAGGACGTTTAGGTTCAGGTGCCTTTTAACCATTGGTAGCCTTTGTTGGTAAAGGTATGATCTTTGGTAAGCAAATCTTATCATTCTCTATCACACTGCAAAGATAATATATTTTTCCATGGTGAAAAATCATTGCATTTATTTTAAAATGATTGACAAAAAAATTGTTTCCAAAATTTAGGGCCCAGTTTTAGCCCAAAATTCTTGGAAAACGGATTGCAGAGAGATACAATGCTGTTTGTCCTTGAACTTTTTTTTAACTTGCTTAGAGTGTTTTACTCAGAAGTAACTCAGCAAGCAATTCCTGCTACTTTTTCTGGTTTTTGGAAGCTCACAGCAGTTCAAAAAATCCGGAAAAATCAGAACAGATCAAAAATGCCCTTTGTGATGTCTGGTGATTTTTTCATATTTTTTGGTGCCTTTGTCTTGGATATATGCAAGGTATAACACCAAAAGTTGTTCTCTGTTTGCCAAATAAATTGTACATGTATTTTGGGTCACCAATGTATCAAATGTGGACGGATTATCCTGAATTTTTTTCCACATAATGGCACATCCTTTGTTGTGTTGCAAAATTTTTTCTGGGTGATTTTGGAGCCTTGTACATATGTCAGCATAACATATATAGTTGTAACAATACACATGTGGTGGTATACATACTGAGCCAGCAAGATCCCGAAAAAAACGTTCAACAAAGGGAATGCTGTCCTTCACTTATGATTTTTTTTCTGGCTTGGTCTTGTTAATTTTGGAGGCTTAAATGAGTGCGCAAGTTCTGCATTTCTGTCTATCTTGCCGAAAAATCTGGGAAATTAACAGACGGAGTGCTAGAATTTTTCTGTATCCGCCAAAATCTCCCACCGGAAAGAAATTCACACAATTTTACTTACCTGATTTTTTCAGATTTTTTGGACCAATATGGAGCATGCCATTTCAATTGCTGGTTTCAATCATTTTTCACCATGGAAAAATATATTATCTTTGCAGTGTCAATATTAATCCATGATAGAATCTAACGTCAATTTACATTTCAAAAGACTCTAGAGTTATGCCCCTTGGGCCAGGTGCCGGTGCAAAATTGATGAGAGCCAATATGGGTGGAGCTGCATATGAAAACCAAGCTGTATCAAGCTTGCGTGGTGTTTTGGTTGTTCAGGTTTACTTCGACTCGATTGCAGTGAGCTTTGATTTCACCTTCCCCTGAACTTCCTGCAATCACATTTGAACTAACTCCAATTCATTTGTATGCATAGATAGATATCCTTGTATCAATCAACACGGACACAACAAGCTTTAGCTCTTTGATCCCTACTCAAGAACATAGTCATTGAATCCTAGCGGTTGATTTCTTCTGTCCCACTTCTGCTGCATTTAATCACTATCAAGTCTTTGCTCTCAATAATAAAGGCTCAGATGAAGGTCTCTATGATTATCCATCATTCAGTGGACTAAAGCGAATAACGTCAAATGGTCAATTCTATTAGTTGACCGGAAATGATCTCTCATCGCGGCTTCAAGAGGTTTAGTACATGTCCATTGATTCAACTCTCAAGGTGCTCCATTCAGCTGAATGAGCTGATGCATCTTCAAAAACACCTCAACACTCAAAGATTAGCAGTGAGTATATCTCAATTAATACCTCTTGAGTTTTGATCTGCATATCGACTAATCTCTCATGTGGTTTGCTGGTCGGTTCTGATTGAATCATCTCAACTTGTTCTTCAATCTTTCCATAATTCTCTTCAAGATAAACGATTCCTTGATCAATAGTTTTGACATGAATCTCTTCTGAAACTTTTGCTCCTAAAATCATTTTGGCCTTTTCCAAAACCACTTGTGTACCCGTCGCCAATTTAGCTCCTAACTTGATGGCTTCTAATGCTGTACTTTTTGTAAACGATTGACTTGCTTTTGGAAACCCTTGTGAGATTCATTCATCTTTACGTTTGATATCTTCAATCGGTAATAAAATTAGGCCGTTGCTATTTGCAGCCCACATGAAATCCATGTAGGTGCTGTCCAAAATACGCCTACATGGATGTTTTCCACCAAAAAGCGCCTACATACAGCCTGTAGGCGCTTTTTTCTCTTTTGAATGACACCTACAGGCTGAAAAACCAATGTAGGCGTCATCTGTGTACGCCTACATTCTAAAAAAAAAATGTAGGCGTTCAAAAAAAGCGCCTACATTTTATTTGGGGTATGTAGGCGCTATCGCTATTTTCACGCGCCTACATTCCCTTCTCTGTATGTAGGCGCTGCCAAATGAGCACCCGCCAAGTAGGCGCTTTGAAATTACGCCTACATGCCCTAGTAACCATGTAGGCGTAATTTCCAAAAAGGGCCTACAATTTTTTCAGCCCAAATCAGCGCCCACATCCAGTCTTGCAAATGTAGGCGCTACAAATACGGCTTCATAAGCTGTCAGCCGGGTAATGAAGCCCCATTTTGATGTCAAAAACGCAGATTGGACTGATAATGAGAGGACCGGAGGACGGAAAAAGCAGTTTGGACTCGAAATGAGTGCACCGGAGGACGGAAAAATCATGTTATGTGATTGTATTGGAAGGTTAATACAATCTTCTCATCTCAACATGAAGGGTATCAGATTATTATAATTCAGAAATAGAAGGTTTGTAAATAACTTCCTCATATATATCAATCAAATTTGACCAAAAAAACGCATTCTGAAATTATTACGCAAAAAAAGAAATACACACAAAAAAAGAAATACAAATTAATCAATAACAACCGTCTTTTAGAACTTCTGGTGGTAACTCCTTCTTTTAATTCCTTCAATTTCTCTATTTCCTCCATCTTGAAGTGTACGTACGTGAAGTTTGACCAAACTTCCACGTACACACACGTGTAGGCGCGTTCCCACGCGTCTGAATAGCTGTAGGCGCTCAGAAATGATGCCTACATTGCTGTATTAGGAATGTGGGCGCTTTTTTCCCACACCTTCCATATCTTGGAGGCTCACATTTCTATTTGTGGGGTCAAGTATTTGTAACCACACTCTTATTTTATTTTATTGTATTTCTAAATGTTGTCATCTACTGTCTAAGTTATTCTAAACATGAGCTACCTAATCAGAAGACTTCTTAAGTCATAAGACTCATATGCATCTGAGTCTTACCACGTGTTTGGAGGGGGGCCCGGGGACCGGTGGTGTTCCGATGGGGTAGGCTCTCTGCGCGGCAGGGTGCAGGGGTGGGAGGGAGGAAAAGAAAAATTTTCTAGAAATGTGAAGCCTCTTATTACCTTGCTGATGCTTTCTGTTGAGCTCAGCTATTGTTGAGGAATGGAGGAAAAAGTTGTAAGATATTACAATTGTCTTACCAACTTTTGCTTCCGTTGGGGAAGACTCTTTTTGTCTTGCCTTGGTACTGTGATCCGCCAGTACCGAGTATGTCTGAGCTCTGTGCTCCTGTTCCCTCGTTTATGGAACTACGCAGGTACCGTCGTGCCTTTGGGTACCTGCCACATACATGCAGGAAAATCCATGTAGGCGTGATATTCACCGGCCTACATGTCAAATCTTAAGTGTAGGCGCTCAGAAATTGCGCCTACATGCAAAAAAAGAAATGTAGGCGTAAAATTCAAGCGCCTACATATGTAGGTGCACCCAAATTACGCTTACAGTCAAAAAAATAAAATGTAGGCATAATTTCCGTGCGCCCACATATGTAGGCGCTTCAAATTGACGCCTACATTTCATTTTTAGAGTGTAGGCGTATACAAATGTCGCCTACATCGGTTTTCCAGCCTGTAGGCGTCATTCGAAAAGGGAAAAAGCGCCTACAGGCTGTATGTAGGTGCTTTTTCGTGGGAAAAAGCCATGTAGGCGCTGTTTTGGCAGCGCCTACATGGATTTTGTGTGGGCTGCAAATATCCACGGCCTAAAAATAAATCCAAATTTCAAAATTCCAATTATAAGGGTTTCAAAATCACCGATAAGGCTCCTCAGCAACCCTTACAAAAAAAGTAAGTCTTTCTTTTAAAGGCTTTTCCTTCTACTAACAATATTCACCTTTGATGCGATAAAAATGAAAGGACTAACACTCCAAACCTCAACTCCTGTTCTGATTTTGATTTTAG